TAAACACGCGGCATGATCTGTGAAAATGAAAAATACTAATGTTGTAATATGATTTCAGAGATCGTTTTATACATACGAAGAGGGATCATTTTATTTCAAACACAAAATTGCAATTCATCGACCAAAATATAACCTTCAGATAGAATGGTATTCAAACGTTGCATAAACATAGATGAACGTTAATGATATCCATCAATAAATCAGCATTTCAATAAATATTAACATGCAGAAAGTAATGAAACCCGAGAAATAGACTCGCTATAGACAAGAAGCATGTTTTTTAATTATCTTCGAATAAAAACAACGCAATGACAATCGCAGGGGTAACTGGCGAGGTTGCGAGGATGACACTTGTTGAGTATTTGGATATAGTATTTTGATATAGCTAGTGGTAACACGCATGCGGTGGGAAATCGTTTTACCTCGTAGGATCGTACTACACGCATCTTTCCTATTCCCTTTTCAAAAACCCAGTATATGCAGTCAAGTCATTTCTAAACACCCAAGCGCAAAGTGTAGGTTTAAATATTCGAACCCTTCCCACTTCAGTTGGCCCACTTCAAGATTGGTACCAAAATATGGCTTTATAAGCTAAACATGTCGAAACTATTTACTTCTAAAACAATTTATTTTCTCAAAAACATTTTAGATACACTCTAGTAGTAAAAAATACATATCTGAAATCACTTAGACCTATAACTAATAGAACATCTGAACAAATAAACAATATGCGAATAAATGCGCGAAGTTAACAAAGCAATAATTGAAAGATTACGATTGGGTAACATCACCTTTATTTTTATTACGGCTGAAATTCTTTTGGGCATAGTGTTAACCAAGTTTTGTCAAAATAGTTTCAATAGGTGACAGATCTGGACTGCTAGAAACCCATTTCAAAAGTGGTACATTATTTTCTTCCATCCATTTTATAGCCTTTCTTGACGTATGGCACGCTGCGCCATCTTGCTGAAACACAAAATCTTGGCCGGATGTCAAACATTCTTCCATCACTGGTAAAAGCGATTCTTCTAAAATTGCCAAATATTTGTTTGTATACACATTTCCATCAATAAAATAAAGTTTTCCTACTCCTTTTGATGACATACTACCCCAGACCATAATGGATGCTGGAAATTTCACTTTTCTCTTCAGACAGTCAACATGGAATGCTTCATTTTTGTTGCGAATAACTCTACTGCAACTGTCACCAACACAAACTTCGAATCGGGCCTCATCACTCCATTGTATTGCACACCATTGTTGAGGTGTCCATTGTCTATGTTCTCTAGCCCATCTAAGCCGATTTTTCTTCTGCAGTGGAGTTAATAGTGGCTTTTCTTTGGCCTATAAACAAGTTGTGCAACTTTAGGGTTTTTACTTCACTTTTTTTTACAAGAAGCCTTACCTTGCAAGTGCTAAATCCTAGTTTGTGGGCCTCTCTATGAGTTGTGTACCACGAAATTCTTTTTCCAACAGCGTCACTCCACAGAGCACTAAATTGTAAATAAGGTAAGGTGGGGCAAGTGCTGCCCAAAAAATTAAAAGTTCAAAATCGAGATCACAGAAAAAATACTTAAAATGTTTTATGGATAATGCATTTTAACCAGAGAGTAGCCTATAGTGTTCTCTACAGAACTGAATATTTTAGATTGAATTAGAAAATTTACAATTTACCAAAAATGTTGTTTTTTTTATTAGGATGACAATTGCTGCTCTTGCCCCATACAGTCGGGGCAAGAGCGTAAAATCCATTACTGTAGTTAGTTTTGCTAAGAAATCAAAACGAGGCAAGAGCAATCATCTTTATACTATGGATAATTGGTTAGACACGAAAAATAAATGTTATCCTGGTCAGAAGTTGAGTGATGATCTTAGAAATGGACTGATACCTTTTTGAAATGATACAAAAATACATTATCGATGCATAACACTCTTGTTTTCATTTAAGTAATAAGAATTTATCGTCACTTATGTATTTAAATTGCCAAAGTAACAAACAGTTTTACATTAAGTATAAATCCCAGCTTTAACAAAACCACTTCGAAGTATTTCAGGATTTGTTTCTCTCCATATATCTCCAATAAGTTTTGAAAAAATACTCTTCGGCATCTTAATACCCACGTTCTTACGCTGCCAGTCTACTAGTTTAGCATCCTATCGAGTTTTTAGGGATTTGAAAACACTTAAATCAAGTGGTTGTAAAATATGACTGGTATGTGGGGGAAGTTTTAAAATTGTTATCTGGTTGTCGATAGCAATTCTAACAACTTCTACACTTAAATGAGTCGCATGACCATCGTAAATTACTAAGACTGGTCTTTCTGGAGGCAAACACTTAACGAAACTTTTTTCAAAATAGTTTTTAAAAACTGTGCTTTCCATCCATCCGTTGGCGGTTGCTGCATTATGTCATTTCGGGAAACTCGCTACCAGGGGGTGCAAGCCACTGATCCCAGACGTGCTTGCCCTTGAAAATTATTAAGGGAGGCGCCTTTCCTCCGCTTGCGCTGCAGCACATTAAGACAATGGTATTCTGTGTTCCAGGCCCACTTGTTGTCCGTGTAGCTGGCAGTCCCCGTTGCCCAACGATTTTCGTTTTTGAAGGGTCTGAGCAAAAACTGCTCTCATCTAAGTTCCATATCTGAGATGGTTTATCCTCTAATCCAAGTTCTTTGATTGTATTTTCTAATAAATCGAAGTACTGGTAGACTAAAAACGGATCAACATTCTTTTTTCGGGCAAATTCGACGCTTTGAGGTGTTTTAATAGAAAGCTTGTGACGACGTTTAAAATTTAAAAACCAGTCTTCACCTGGTTTGTCATTTTTAAACTGCGTTTTAATTTTATTCGTTTTAACGTAATCTTCCACTATCCCGAGCAATTCCTTTCTGGTTAGACCGAATCCCCACTTCTCCATACAGCGGATACAATCTTCCAGACACGTCTCCTCTTCAAAACTGAGATGTGTCCTTCTACCATAGGTTGAACTTTTCTGACCTCTGCGCCCTTTTACATGGTCCGAAAGTGTATTTTTTGGAATATGATACATCAAGCTAGCTCCGTAAATACTCATTTGTCCACTCTTTACAATGTTTACAGCAGTCCTTAGATCTTCTTTTGAACATCCGGATCCTCTCTGAGATTTACGAATATAATTGCGAACCATAATTTAATTCTGAAACAGAGGGAATATTTTAAAAATTCTGTTGGGGCAAGTGCGTTTTGTAGACTTCACTTGCCCCTTTAAAATAGGCCGCTCTAGCCCCTGTACAAAAAAATCACAGGGCAAGTGCAGCCTATCAACAAAAACTTGTTTTATTGAAAATAAAAGCAAAAATATCGTTATCACTAGGAAAATGATAGAACAATAAGTGTACTTACCATAAATCAAAACTGTAACTCAAAAGATGGCCTTGATATTGACGGATGTATTAAACGTAACCTACTTGTTGCTGGACAATAATGGCGAATAAAATTTCGCGTGTTTGTCATGTACATAATACCGGTCGCTGATCTCTTCTGTTATTTTACAAAGTTGAGATGAATTGGGTAGGTGAACGATCCATAGATGGTAGCACAACTGACTGATATCCGGGAAATTTAAACGCAAAAGCTGCACTTGCCCCGTAAATGCTCTTACCCCACCTTACCTTAATTGGCACGCCTGTTTTTCACGATTATTCTTCTTAATGCTCTTCGGTCGGCATTTGTGATATTACTTTTTTTTCACATATCGTGGCTTAATATTAACTGAACCAGTTACGTTATATCTTCTAACAATATTCCTCCCACTGTACCGCGATAAGTCTAACAAAGTTGCAATTTCTGAGTTTGATTTCCCAGAATTAAGAAGTTTAATTATCAGTAACCGAATTTTCTCACTAATAACCTTTCCTCTACCCATTTTGAAAACTTTAACTACCCAAAACTATCTTAAACGTATTCTGACGGCTGTGATTAATAAAAACAATTTATTATGCATTAAAATGAAAATAGGTTGATATGCTGTAATTGCAACATGTGTTATTTTTATGCTGCAAATTTGATTAGGGAGTGATAAAGTTGGTGTTTTCTACTATATATTATCACAATATTCATTGTTAATATTTTAAACCTATAACACCCTGCTACATTTTTATTATTTGTGTTTGATAATAAAAAAACTAAGATTTCAATAGTTGGGCCAACTGAAGTGGGAAGGGGCTCGTAGTAGTATATTCTCTGAAATCTTAGACTGACTAACTCAAAAACCGTTCCGACTCCTACGATGATAGTCAGGCTTCCATCAGATACGAGAGAAATAACCTTTAACTACGACCGTAAAGGTAAAGTGTAGCTTGGGATTATACGTTCCGGATATTAAGTCTTACTTTCCATTCCATGGGAATTCTTTGAGTCTAATCATGACAGAGTAACTTTAGCGTCTGCTATCTTTAAATCCGCTTAAGCTCATCAACTGTTCGTATTTAATCCCCCACGTTTGTCTAGCAAATGAAACCAAATATATATATATATATATATATGTTATTAGAAATTCTTCTTCAATGTAGTATACGCTTCTTCAAGGCCATGGCATTTTTCACAATATTTTATTTAGCTGTCTTCAAGGTGACAGGTAGGCATTCCCAGTACCAGAAGGACGTGTAGCGCTCCAATATGACAAGCGAGTGTGAGGTTATTTGCCGATTTTTTAATCTACCAGATACGTCTCCCTCGTCCATCGTTCTGAAAATGCCAAAAGCGCTCAAAAAAATCGCGAAAACCCAACTGTTGTCGTAACACACCGGTTAGTTGTTATGGAATATTCGACTAAAATGTTGCAACTGCATTGTATACAGATTATCGACATGAGAACCACAGGATTATTTTCAGATGTTTCATATCTATTGTTGCTGGGCACATGGTGGTATAGAAAGGTCAAGTGGTTTAAATTAGACACAATTTGATCATCTAAAATTTTTCCCTAAGATGGTATAAATACGTACTCGAATAATATTTTCGTCATCTTTACAGGATATCATTTATCTGGAAATTATTTATAAAATTTTTAAATAGTTCCTCCCGGTATGCTGATCGTGTATCAGTTTTGAATCGTCAACAGTAAACATCACATAAATATGCATAATCGAGGCAGAATAATATTACCAATCCCAGCAAATTATCTTATTAATATGCAAATAAAACAAGCTTTTAGCGACGGAATACTTCAAGATGTGTTGGATTACGAATTGACAAGTTTTTATTATAATATGTAGGTACACTTAAACATCTATCGATAACTTCGCGCTAAGATTTTTATTTGTCAGTCTTTGAAATAAGGTTTGCTCCATCTTCTCGGTCACATTCCAAATTATCTTCATCTGAACAAATCATTCCTTTAGGGCAGTTCATAATATTGGCCAGATGAAGTCCGTCACTATTACGAACACACTGGTAAAATTGGTAGCGTCCCATACAGACAAATCCTTTTTCACTACATGGGAGCAGGCCAAATGCTTCCGACGTATGTGTCATCTGAAAGGAAAACTAAATTACTTCCTATGTTTGAAGCAGGTATACTGGGTGTTTTCAGAGTTGAGTCATTTATCGTAACTGCTTGTAGGACTCGCCAAAATGAGTTGAGATATACCAAAAATCACCTATACAGGGTGTTTCAGTTTATTGTTGCATAACTTCAAGCTTCGATAGAACTTTTATTTATTATATAAATATGGGTCGAAAAATGCGTGTCTTCCGAAATACAGGGTGCTTAAATTTACTTTCTAAAATAGTTTTTTTCAAATATTTCGAACAATATTTGATGTATAACAGTGAAAATTGGTATACAAGGGTTTTTTGGTACGACAAAACGAACCATGGGCATGGTTTTACTGTAGCCGCTAGAGGGCGCTCTCTACTGTACCTGTAGTGTATTAAAATGAGCATAACATTTTTCTTAGTGCAATTTTTTGCTTTTTGAATAAAATAACTGATTCTTCGCACTTTTCAACATAAAAAGCTCTGTTGTGAGTTTTCGTTATAGTTAGCCGTTTTTGAGATATTTCGATTTTTAAGGTTCGATGTATTTTTAATTATTTATGGGAAAATAATATTTTTTTTACATTTTCGATTTGGGCATTACCTACAAGTAATTAATATGATCGTTTAGATTGTGTTTTTAAACACAGCAATAATTCCTAACTCCAAATAAACACAAAATAACAATATTAATTTGTTTAATTTTCCAATATTATTTTTAACAAATTAAATTAATTATTTACAACTAAAATGCTATTGGATAGTTAGGACAAACATACAAAATCGAAAGTAGTTGCTCGAAATGTAAACCCAATCACATCTACGAATGATCGAACGTGGTATAGCATTATTCAAATAAGGCCTTATTTCATCACATGCATTCCTGATTCTGTCTATTAGCATATCTCTTGTGGTTACGGGAATCTGGTACACTTTTTCTTTTAGAAATCCCCACACAAAGAAATCTAATGGATTTAGGTAAGGGGATCGTGGAGGCCAGGCGACTGGTCCTCCACGGCTGATCCATCTTTCTGGATAATTTTCGTCCAGCCAGTTTCTAACTATTCTCGAATAATGAGCTGGACAACCATCAAGCTGGAACCAGGCCAATCTTCTTAAATCTAACATAATATCATCCCACATATTTGCATGTTCAGCCTTTAAAAATTCCAAGAAGGTCGCAGCATTTAACCTTGCAGGCAAAAGGTAGGGTCCAAATAGTCGATTTTCATGCGACCAAATATGTTGATTATGAAAATTTACCACTCCACGTCTAGTGAAGCATGACTCATCGATCCATAAAACGTTACTTAAAAACTCAATATTATTATCAGTTCTATCAAGAATCCACTGACAAAATGTGATTCTTCGTTCTCCGTCCCCTGGCTGTAGTCCTTGCACAGGCAAATGGTAAGGACGTCTATGGTCATTTCTAAGAACACGGTGAACATGGCTTGCTGAAATTCCCAAGGCACCAGAAACTCTCCTAACACTTGCGGTCGGATCTCTATCAAACTCACGCAGAATCATACGGGTAAATCTGCGCTGACGAACATTTATGTTTTGATCCCTTTGGAGATTTCCAAAACCATTTTCAATTATTTGGCGATGCGCTCTTACAAATACTGAGCGAGCTGGATGTCGCCTGTTTGGAAATCTTCGTGCGTATTCTCTGGCTGCTTCTGCTGCGTTTCCATTTACAAAGCCATACACAAAATGAATATCCGCTAACTCTTGATTGGAGAATAAAAATGGCATTTTTATAAAACTTACAAAAAAAACACGTAAAAAAAAACTAAATTTCGTGCATTCACAATTGCAAAAAAACGTTTCATGTTTCAACAGATAACAAAACTAACTGTCAACTAATTGACGTTTAACCTTATTCTGCTATCAATTTCAAAAATATTTGCAGGCGCAGCCTACTTCTAAAAATTATCGAGATACTGACTTTTTAACGTTATTTTATCATAAATAATTAGAAATGCATCGAACATTAAAAATCGAAATATCTCAAAAACGGCTAACTATAACGAAAATTCACAAGAGAGCTTTTTTATGTTGAAAAGGGCGGAGAATCAGGTTTTTTATTCAAAAAGCAAAAAAGTGCACTAAGAAAAAAATTTTCGGTCATATTAATACACTACAGGTACAGTAGAGAGCGCCCTGTAGCGGCTACAGTAAAACTATGTCCATGGTTCGTTTTGTCGTACCAAAAAACCCTTGTATACAAAGTAAATTTAAACACCCTGTATTTCGGAAGCCACGCATTTTTCGACCCACGTTTATATAGACTTTATGCATTAATTTTGAAAGTTCTATCGAATCTTAAAGTTATGCAACAATAAACTGAAACACCCTGTATAATAATAACGGGGTGCACCACCGAGAAGCTGAGGTTGGCAGTTGTGTAAATGGATTTAATTCGCTCCACTTGCGCACTAGATGAATCAGTTTGCATTGTTACACAAATATACATACTTGAAATTGATCTATTTCATTATAATTACTTACAGCGTATTGCACAAGATATTTAATACATGAAGAAGTCTAATTCTAAGTTTAACTGCACAATATGGAAACCAGTTTTCCTTGCAACATGATCCATTAAAAACACTTAGAAAAAGCTGATAAACTGCGCTATTCAAGATAAAACTAGGTTAAGATTACTCTACCATGCAACGTTAAGTCGTTCATATTTTAAAGCCATTTCGAGTTTAACCACATGCATCCTCAAAACGCCCCGTCACCTGACAGCGTCCGCAAATGTGACCGCAGCCCTGTAAACGCTAACCGGTGTGAAATTAAGTTGTGGTAAAAGTTAAGCTGTAGGTTAGGCGCCAGTAAATCAATGCATGTGAAAGCCCGCTATAAGCAGAAATGGGAAGACCTGACTACATTGTGGTTTATCTATAGATTTTTACTGTAGGTAATAAATACAGCATTTTTAAGAAAAATCTTATCTATGTTAATTGTTTTTTGGCATTGTTCAGGGATTTAAACCATCAATTACCCTTGGAACCATATATACGATTCGAGGAATTACTCATACACGATTTTGAAGATAATGGAACAAATCTGCCTGCGCAAAAGTACTTAAGGTATATCACTTCGTGTACAGTGTGTCCCTCTAAACTTTGGTCAGTTTATTCATATAAACATAATACACGGAATGAACGACGATTCGCTGGAGCGGTGCCGCGATGGGTGCAGTCGCGCAGATCTAGGAAGGGTCAACGTTGCCAGATGGACAGTAACTGCCGGTAGGCTAGAGAAAGAATATCAATGGACCAACTGATGGGCTGGTTTGACTGACTTGATAAGTTTAATTTCTCTGTTGTGCATGCTTGTAACCGGATTTGTTCTCAGAGGATTCAAATGAACTTAATCCTTTAAGAACTGATGACGCCGTTGCAGACGAAGTATGGAGTCCATTTGTTTATGTAACATAGAGGCAGTATAATGCCGAGACCGCATAGTTGATGCGCATGTTTTGCTGTGCAAAATATCCACATGAGTCTGTAAAGTATAGCTCACTAACTGCGCTGCAATTCTAATCTCGGCAATACGTTTATTCCACATGAAGCTATGTGCTTTTATGTGAAAAACTAGTCAACTGGTGCGGTTTTTTCTACAGCTAATTGTAACTAACAGTAGTATCCAAGCGTTTCCCTTTTCTTCTAGTCCAGGACTATTAGACTTTCTCTGCTGAAAAAATCCCACCTCGATGAATTTTTTACCAGAGCTTCTTTTCATCATTATAAATCATCCTTCAAAAGTCCCCATGAATCCAGGTGGAGCTTTTTTTTATGGGGGTGGGCCAATGTCACAAAAAATACCTTTTTCTATATATCTTCGAAAACATCAATTCTAAGATAAAATGAGCAATTAGCCTTTATGCTCAGTATGAAATTATCCACAAAAAAGGTTGCATGCATTTTTTTCGTAGAGATCGTTTTTTCAAGGAAATTTTACTTTCAATGTTGAACAACTTTTTTCCACGTCACTATAGAGATAAAGTACCAGACGCGTCTTCTTTTTTCATGTGGCTTCCCCAATAGGTGTAATCCACGAAGATATAAGGAAAAATCATGTTATTGTTACTTTTTTCCTTAGTCATCATTGTGACATGATGCGGCATCATCTAAGTCTTCGACAACCTCAAGTGTTGAGCACAGAAATTCATGGGGTCTATATTCTCATAGAATTACACATTATTTGAGTCTTCATTGTTCCGGATCATATTCAGGCATGACTGTCCATGACAATAGCCGCAATTGGCGGAACAGTGTAGGCCAAATTTCCTGCATCCGCAATTAGCTCGACAACCTTTCGTACAATTAGAAAATATTGTGTTTCATAAGACAGCAGAAGCAGGTGGCAATAAAGTTTGTACTGGCTGTAAATATTTATCGGTCATAGTCCATCCCCAATCCAATAATTCAAATTCTTCCCAAGCCATTTCTGAACTTGATAATACACACGACGTAAATGTGCTTGAGAAGCACTCGATGTTGGTGGCAGCATTGACAGCTTAACAGCTTTATTATACCTTGTGGATTTCGCGAAGCAGTTATATCGATCATGGTCAAGAGATTCTCAGGAACAAGACCGATAAATATACACCATTCCCAACAATTATACTTCGATTTTCATTCGTCAGTTCCCTCGCAATATTGTTAATGAGAAGATCAGCATCTTCCTCTGATTGCACGACGTTTATATGACTCTGCTTAAGTTTTCCAGACAACATCGTTATAAATCGCTGTTTGTTGTTGACATTGGCGAGAAATTTCTCTTGAGTCATTGATGGATCAAACATAATTTCTGTGCATGTACCGGTTTTTGCTGATCATCGTTGTTATTCCATTGCTTTCGCGTTATTACGTTGATTGTTATAACCGTCGAAAACAACCGTAACGTTCCAACCAAAATGATTTCGTAAATAATTAACATAACAATTAAAAGTAGCATCATAATATACTAAAAGACATATA